TAAAATGCACAAAAACTAATCTCATGATCTTCTAAAATGGATTGTAACCCTCCATGAAACACTTAAAACTGGCTGTTTTCTTTTAAGCAAAGTAAAAAAAAAAGTACTTAACAAATGTCCCTAAATAACCAGTATCATTTCTTAAAGATGGAAAAATTTTAAACATGTTTTAAGTGTTAGTTTAAAAAATGTTAATCAGATCAGCAAAGCAGAATTTACTTTAAAATGTATAAAAAATCTCATTTTACCAGCTACCTAAAAAAATCACTAATAAATTATGATTACATTAATTTAACTGAAGTATATGTATTAAATACATAAATTACTAGAAATTAAACTCTAAAATGTTAGTAGTATTTATCTACAGCTGATGAAATTATAGTTTTTATTTTCCTCTTTGTTCTTTTCTATATTTTCCATATTTCCTTAAACATTTCATGTAAAATTGAAAAGTGATTTTTCAAATTATTCATTAAATCTAACTCCAAGCACTGCTTCTTTTTCAAAGAAAAGACAGAAATTGAAGTTCTAAGTCTCACTACTAACTTTCTGGTCATCACCTTAGAAAGCTACCTCACGTTGAAGCTAGTAAGAATACGAAGTTTGATCATTAGGTCTATCTTGCCTTAAAAGTACAATATTCTAGTGCTGGCCTCAAAAAGATTTAAATATTTTCTTGGTACTTTTATTTTGTGCAACATTTAAGGGAGACACTGTCTATAAGATTATTTAAAACACATCAAGAACATTTTCCAAAATTAGAGAATTGATAGTTGCAAGTGACACTTTCAGGCTCATAGCATAAAATGAACCAAGTAATTTACTTATCTCTAGAAACAAACCATTCACATATCCCACAAAAAGTATAATAATACTTAATATAGGAAATTGCCTGGTAATATAAAATTTTAATTCACTGAAATTTTATTCATATATTGAATTCATATTAATAACTTCCCCCCAAAAGTTATCACTTTAAGATACTACAGAATCAGAAAGACCTGATCCGAGAAGAAAATCTGCTTCTTTAAAAATCTATATAAAACAAATAGCTTCTATTTGCCCCAAAGCCGTAATTGCACACTTCATCCATAATCTCTATCCACTAAGTGATAACTATTCCAGTGCCAGATACCGATCTTCAGAACTATACAAAAAACAGAATGTGCTTTCCTCTCTACCCCACTTTAAAATCTAATTCTAAGGAAGTAAGAAGTAAAACTGAAACTAAATGTAATCTAAAATGGTTTCTACAAATATTTTAACAATGACTCCTGGCAACTAATAGAATTCTATGCATTTTAACTGTAAGGATGCATATTTAAACATTTTTACTGCATTAACTATTTAATGTTTATGAGTATTTTCACACTTAATCACATTTACCAAGCCTGCTCTAAACTATACTGTGAAAAAAGCAAACTCCTCGTCAGTCCTACTCCTTAGAGACACCACATCTTCAAGGTCATATGCACACGCTTTGTGCATTCTTGTGTTCTTTCCCCTGCATTTTCGGACAATTCAGATAAAGCTCATCTCCCCAGAGTGCTCTATCCCATCTCCCAGACCTTTCAAGTTTATTGTCCATTAGGAAAATTATAAATAAAACTGAGTTAATGTAGTGATAGTGCTAATAAATCTTAACATTTCAATGCATTAATCCTCATAGGAAATATATTCATGAGTTAATACCTTTCCCCAAGAGAAAAAACTATTGTAAAAATGTAAGGCCACATTAAAAAAAAAATACCTGGAGAATTCAAGCCTTTTCTTTTTTTTATTCCATTATTAAAATGAAATAACATAAAATTTGTATTTAAGTATACTTAAATATTTTTTCTTCTTGACTGAACCACTCCTGAGATTTGTGGGGAGGTGATAATTTTCTGCTTAGATGGCAAATTTCTGAATTGGGGCCATTACAACTACACATGTACCCTATTGAAACATAACTTGTGCATATTTAGATGCACTATATTTTGAATCATAACTACCAACACATAATAATTTTACAAGGGAAAGCTAAGCATAATGATAATCAAACGATGGATTTTAATGTTTATCAAAAACAGTTCTACTGCCTCACATGTCAAATGACCTACGCTAGGCTGACCAACATTTGAGAAGCTTTTACTCCATTATTTCCAAGCCAAGTAGACCATGATAATTGAGATTGCCATGGTTCCCACATAACACAAAAATAAACGCACATGCACACACTCTACCAACAATAAAGCAAACAAACATCTCCATTAAGTAAGAACACTCATAGCAAAAATGCTGCTAGCTACCCAATTGTCACTTATGAGCTAAAAAAGATCAGAATCTGAAGCAAACTAGCTATCGACAAATGTTAACCACCGGCAAATACCACATTTTCATTTATAGTGACTGTATACATGTGATGTTTTCTTATTAAACACAACTGAATTATACTGAAAATAATTCTTTCTGCTCTAATTTCCAAGGGTGAAAACAAAGTATGACATAAAAACCTGTGTTCACAGGCCATGTCACTTTTTTGTCATTTGTTCTTTTTAATGCAACTGCAAAATCATTCAAATGGCTTGGCTTATAAATAGTAAAGAATTAAATAGCAAAATCTCATTTTCCATGCCTAGGCTCAACAAATAAAAAGTTAGTAAATTATGATTCAAAAGAGTGGTTAGAAATTAATTTTTAAACAATAATTGTACTCAAACAACATAGGGCATGATATATTAGTTTATAAAATGGCAAACTAAACATTAATTCATATAACAATGAAAGCAAATGGTGTAATAAACAACCATTTAATGATTCTTTATTGTTTTCTGAAGAAAAGGATTTTATTCCCCCACAATCCTATATTTAAGTACTTCCATCTCCATATACACTGGAAGGACCTTTCTATATGAATCTAAAATTTTCTTGGACATTTTGTCTCGTAAATGATAAAAGTTGTAAATACCGGTCAATTACATTTTGTTGCAGAAATCACTTCAGTATTTCATGCTTCTCTAATGTGCAGCTTTTATGAAATTACCTGCATGATCACAGTCAAAATCTTATTTCCATAAAGAACTATCATGCATGACTACTCTGCCACACAAAATATGGTAAGATTTTAATTACATTTTATGTAAATCATATTTATGATACTTCATCATAGTAGCTTTTAGAGGTACACATCAAAATCAGCTCAGACTACAACAACATTTTTACATACAAAACTTAAAAAAGGATGTCTTTTTCTTTACTTAATGTTTAAGATGTGAACAGTCAAATATTTTTCAATTTTTCTTTAATTTTAAATCATTTCTTCAAAACGCATTACCTCCAAATGCCAATGCAGAGTTAAAGATTTTGGTATTCTCAAAGTTACTAAAATCTTTACAGACACCTTTTCTTAAGAATAATAAAGTGTGATACAGATACATAATAAGCCTTAAAAAATACCTGAGAGGTCTTGCCTGGGGATTGCCTGCTTCTACATAGGGATGTAAATAATCCTTTATGTAGAGATCAGCAGCACTATTAGAATGGGTGCAAATGAGAAGCCTGCTGAAAGAAATGGTGCAAATATAAAGAATGATAAAACACAAAACTATACAAGCAGTATAATACCAAAAAAATAAAAATAAAAAAGCAGTGGCCATTCTTAACATTATACATTTCCCTCAACCTACTCACTAACCTCTATCATATTACTGAATAATGCTCTTAAGCAAATTGTATTACTCTTTATGCTATAACAGAAACAAGTCCCCTAAAATTACAAAATCTAACATATAAAATTACTTTTTAAAAATCCAATTCTTTGGCTCTAACATATAATCAAATTCTTTAGCAGACTTGGGGTTTTGCTGGCTATTTAAAAGCTATCATTCTCTATGTTGTCATTTTTTAAAACAGTATGTTTTAGAAGAATTCAAATTTTAGTGCTTTGGGGTTTGAATGTAGGTCTTTTTCTCTTTTGTATTTTTTAAAACGTTTACACACTGGATGAAAATTTTCTTGTTAGCCCTCGCTTTGAATTCCAAACAAGGACAAAGGCTGTGCCCAGTAATGAGGTCGGAGCACACCCCTCCCGTCTCACCTTGTCTCCTGTTGCTGGAGGATGTGCTTTACAGCCTGAGCTAGCGTGAAGGTTTTGCCTGTCCCATAGGGTCCGATGATGAGAACAGGAGGCAGCTGTATTGAAAGGGGGGTTGTAATGGCTAGAACAGCTTCTTTCTGTTTGGCATTTAGTCGAGGATCCAACTGTTCATCCCACTGTCTGTAGAAAATAAAATTTTAAGTTACTTTAAACAAGCACATCTTATTAATAAACAGAACACAACATACAAGTATCCTGAATTTCACTGAACCATTAAAAATACTGAAATAAAAAAATACTGAAATAACATAGCGTCTATAAAAATCAATGCTTATTCTAAAATTACTTCTTAGAAAATTACCCAATTTTACTATGTTGATCAAAACTCACTTTAGTTATGTTGTCCTATTCCAAGTGCAAAAAGATAAGTAACTTAAAGACATCACACACTATTAGTCTAGTTTCTGCCAAGTCTCTATAGTAATGACAATGTTAAAATGTAGATACCCCCTGTGACATAAAAAGCATCAAATAACCTTTTTTTCTGGCAATAATGAAGTAGTAGTTTCTTTGCTTAACAAATAAAATGCAAAAGGGAAACTAACTGATTTCCAAATTCCAATCCATTCAAAGATCTCTTAGTAACTTTTAAAATAAGGGGGAAAGAAAAAACCTGTATGTCTCTACTTAAGAGATATCAAACTTTTCTGAAGTTCTTAATTCAGAAAACAGCAGTTTTTTTAAAAGCTGGGTAACATGAAATGTTCTCTATATTTTCACACGCACAAGTATTACACATAGGTCCCATTTTTCAGAGTAGAGAACACCTGTCATGGCAGCACAAATGGCTGCTGTAATGAGATCCAGCTTCCTAGGGTCCCTTCTATGACTTGGCTAAGTTTCGAAGATTTAAATGGACAGCAGATGCTGAAAGGGATCAAACCAAGTGGAGAACCAACAGCATTCTTTCCCATAACTAAAATTAAAATACTAAATATCACAACAAGTATGGTAAAAATGATAGGGATGTGAACCAAAATAGGAAGGGTGTGTAAAGAGACTTAGAAGATGTGCAAAGTGCCTACAAAATAAGCCTGAAATGGGAGGACATTGTGTAGTGAAAATTCCCCTGCTGTGAGGCTGTACTCTACTTAAATCTAAAGCTAGTTATTTATGGGAAATCTTCTTAACACTTTCAGTTTTTAAAAATTATTATGATAGATCATTTCAAACAAAATTCTCCTAAAAATGTAAAACTTTAGAAAATAAACATTGGCCATCTAAGCATTCCATTACTTATTTTTCTGAAATTTAAACCTTCCTAAGTAAAAAACAAAAGGACTCTGACCAGTGGCACTCAATTTCCTATAAGCCAGTCACTAAAGCTCAAGCATTTTACTCCACAGAATTAAGCATTAACCAACTTAATTTCCTCATAATTCTGCCGGTCCCAGGCAATGTTTCATCTTCTACAAAGAAGCTCCTTTAGATGATTGCTAAGTACAGATCTAGTACACGTGGCAGACACTGTGGAATGGTTATCCCACGCCATCCACAGCAGCCTTTCTGCCTTTCCTCTACTGAACCTAGATAGCTAAATACGCCATTTCCCAGCCTCCTCTGCAGGAGACCCAATTCCAGTCAATGAGATGTAGGAGGAAGTTCTTCAGAAGAGCTTCTATACCCAATAAAACAAAAACAAAGCCTCACTAGAAGAAAGCTCTTTCTGCTACTTTGCCTTCCTCCTTCACCTGGCTGAAATGAGCTCGTGGCAAATAAAACTGCAGCAGCCATCTCCTACTCATGAGGCAATGGGCATCAAGAAGAAAACCAGTATGTTGTGTATGGCAGAGAGGAAAGGAGAACCGTGGTCCTTGGTGGCACTCCAGCTCCTGCACTAGCTTTGGACCACCAACCTCTGGGCCTCTATCTCTACATGTTGATGCCACAGTTAGGTCAATACCTGAGTTACTATGCTTCTATGATACCTGACCCCATGGTTCCTTTGTCTTTACATGGAGATAGCATACTTGCATCAGATGGTTATTGTAATGATCAAATGAAATAACGCATACAACCTGATTAGAAAAATAATTGAGCAACAAGCGCTCTATTAATGTTTGTTTCCATTATTATAATATTTTCTAAGGATTTCAAAAAAATGATATATAAGTTGACCAGTACACTTTCAAAAAACAAGAAAAAGTTTTAAAATCAACCTCTAATCTTTCAAATTCAGGGATTTTAATGATTTTATTAATGAAGAGATATTAGGTTTATTTATATTTATATATATATATATGATTAAATGACAGATTTATGGGTATAATTCTAAAATGTCAATATTTATTTATATAACCCATTCTACTTAATTGTTTCAGTGTACATAAATGCTTCAAGGCAGATCAGAAATTTTAACAATGTTGGTCAACTCTGAATAAAACAAATTGTCTTTATTGTGCCACCTACTAAATAAAGGGAAGATTTACAATATATATGCTGATAAGAGTCATCTCTAATTTTCACAGTTTAAAACAATATAAAGTCTCCTCGAGTTTATTCTGAATAAGTGTTATTTTATTCCCTGAACCAAATTAATTCAAAGTTCTTTTTTTATCCTGGTCTAATACACTGTTATAATTAATTTTTTTGTTATAATTAATTTATATACCACATGCCCAAGAATAATTTCTCAACTTCTATCTTATTCTAGGAAAAAATTTAAATGGACAGTGATTTCTCAGTATGTCCCCAGACCCAGATATATTTCAATTACTATTTGTAATAATAGTGCTATGGACTCTCTTCCTACTTAAAAGTTTTCTGCCACTTGGCATTTCCTTAGTTAATTTTTACAGTTAATACTTGCAGTCAGGGGTATTGAATACATTGTCATATATTATATAATTTTCAGAATTGAGCATCTACAGTAAATGCCTAATAATACTGGCAGGACCTCACATTTGAAACCCTAATATTTCTTTAAACTTGAAATTCTTATTAATTTAAATGTGTCATAATGTGCAAGGCCCTGCTGGAGATTCAAAAATAAATAAGATGTGGTCTCTTCCTTTAAAAAACTCAGTGGGTACTAGACTTTGGGGGTGGGGGAGATCACTTCATGAGTTATGCAAATGTGTAACAACTGTACACCTGAAACAAATACAATAATGAATTTCAACTATAATTGAAAATTTTTAATTTTTTTAAAAGTTCAAAATCTAATGAGAACTGTAGGCATGTAAAAAATTAATGAAAATTAATTTGAGAGAAATTATGCTTAAAAACACAAAATTAACTGAACGTAGCACATAGTAGGCACTCAATAAATATTTGTTCAAATAATGAAATGAAAGGTAAGATTTATCTACTTGAAGGAGAGAGCATTTGAGATGGACTAAATGTTGAAAAAAAGACAAATATTCAATAGATCAACATTTAGCACAGATTACTTCAGGGAAAGAAGATCACTTACAGATGAGAAGACAGGACTGGGGAAGGGAAAATGTGGAGTTAAATGGGTATTAAGTTTCAGTTCTGCAAGATGAAAAAGTTCTGCAGATTGACCTCACAACAATGTGAGTATACTTAACACCACTGAACTATACACTTAAAAATTATTAAGGCCTGGCCAGTGTGGCTCAGTGGTTGAGCATCAACATATGAACCAGGAGGTCATGATTCCCAGTCAAGACATATGCCTGGGCTGCAGGCTTGATCCCCAGTTGGGGTGTGCAGGAGGCAGTCAATCAATGTTTCTCTCTCATTGATGTTTCTATCTCTCTATCCCTCCTTCTTCCTCTCTTAAATCAATAAAAACATATATTTTTAAAAAGTTACTGAATACCTATTAAATTGCGATAGACACGTTTTAAACCTTCTCTAAATAACCTGGGCTATAAGGATAGGAAGAAAGGGAAGGATGCAGAGACGCTGAATCAATGAGACCTGGGAAATTGTCACTGAATTTCTACAATTAGTAGATCAATGGTTACTTTCAGGAGAGTGAGGAAGTAAAAAACAGAAATTACAGAATGAATAAATAAAGAATATTGGAAATATGTAGACTATTCCTGCTCAAAAAATGTGGCAATAAAAAGGAAAATGGGGATAGAATAGTTAGGGCAAGTAAACAAGGGACAAATTATTTAGTTTTTGTATTGAAAGGCATGTTTTGTTTTGTTCTGTTTTTAGGACCAGAAGAAAAAAAAATGTGAGGAGAATATATGCCACCTCTAGGCCTGGCACATAAAATTTCCTATATGATGTTCTGTGCTCCGTCTTCCCCAGTCTGCCAGCTGGATGCCAATACCCAGGGTGACGTTGGAAACCACTTACTGAAGATACCAGAGCCTCCATCAGAGATGGGAGAACCACCCTACCATAACTGGATTGACAAGTGATAAATAAACTTCTATTGTGTAGAGAAACTGAGATTTAAAAAAGAAAAAATACTGGAGTGAGCTGAGAGGAGCAGGGGCCACGAGGATAAAACCCAGTGAAAAGGAGGAAAAGAAAGATGTAGTCATGCAGGCGTCACCGCTGTTATTCTGGAAACAAAATAGAAGTATCATATTTAATTACACTATGTAAATAAGTGCCAAATAGAATTTAAGCAGAAAAATATTTACACAACCATTAACTTGAGAATGGTTTCTGAAGAGATAACTTCTATGACACTTTCCATTTTCCTAAATTACAAAAATGTCTTCAATATTCAAAATTTGTTTGAAATTAGTTAAAAACTATAGGAAGGCCCTAATTTTCCCATTCAACTACTCAGACATATTTCTAAATTGCTTGTTACCCTATAAAGGCCGTTGAGAAAAGCAATAGAATTCATTTAGATGCTGAGAAAAAGTAAATAGATGATGAACTTCAAATGCTGCATTCTTTTACTCTCATTTTTCAACTAATAAAATGTCTTCTGAATAATACAGAGAAACTTTCTTACAAAGGTATGCCTGAGTTATCCAGCACAGACATTTAATTTAACGTTAGCATAACGTCCTTTAATGAGATACCTCCTTTTTGTACCTGTTGGGACTCCAAGGTATGGTTGGAGTCATAGTGATGTCTGGAAATAAAACCCCATTGTCCTTGATCCTGTCTAGCGCATAATGCATTTCACAGAGGGGTAATCGATTTAACTGAAACTGAAGTTCAACCTGAAACATAAGATTAAAAATAACTTTTTAAAGCATGAAAGTAAACATCAGCACTTACAGCTTACTAGAATACTTTGTGAAGATAATCTTTTAGGGGAACCAAGTTTAGAGATTCTTTTAAAGTACAATTATATTCTAACTAGAGGCCCAATGCACAAAATTTGTGCATGGGTAGAGTCCCTAGATCTGGCTGGCGATCAGGGCTAATCTGCAGGGCAACCAGCAGGGCGATCAGCGGTGGGTGGAGGGGGCCAGGGGACCCTGCTGGCACCCACCTTGGCGGGCCTGGGGCCTGTGGGCAGCTCCTGTGTTGAATGTCTGCCCTCTAGTGGTCTGGGTGCATCATAGCAACCAGTCATTTCACCAGTTGTTCCGCCATTCAGTCGATTTGCAATTAGGCTTTTATTATATAGGACTAGAGGCCCGGTGCACAAAAATTTGTGCACTCGGGGGGGAGGGGGGTGCCTCAGCCCAGCCTGTGCCCTCTCGCAGTCTGGGAACCCTTGGGAGATAACAACCTACTGGCTTAAGCCTGCTCCCGGGTGGCAGAGGGCAGGCCCAATCCCTAGGTGCAGCCCCTGGTTGGGCTCAGGGC